CCTCAAAGGGTTTCCTTGAACCAAATCCGTCAAATGTAGGCATCACTTGCAGGGTATCGCCGCTACAAAATTGGCGTGTGCCAGGGTGTACAGGTCTGTTCTAAAACCATTTACGACCTCGAACATGTTCGAATCCATAAAGGGTGTGCTTGTACCAATTCTGTCAAAAGATAGTCAACGGAAATCGTCGCTACGAAATTTGCGTGTTCCAGGGGTGTCCCAAATATTAATCAAATATTACCACCAAGCGGTGTTACTTTTAGCATACAACCATGAACAAAAAACGAGATGCATATGACACACTAACTTCATGTAAACTTGCAATAGTTTCTGTCAACAACCTTACACGATATGATCTTTAAAGTAAAATTTCGGTGAAAAAAATGATCAAAATCAAAATCCAATAGGTCCGTCGATTTAAAAGATATCCAAAATCGGCTAACAGAGTTTGATGTGCTATGTATGGAGACCATTCTCAGAAAGTGTGAAAACATTTCATGCAATGGATTCAGAAGAGTATGCATTTAAAGACAGGTACCCAAAAGACAATGTGAAAACCTTGAATCCAATATGGCTGCCAAACCACGTTACCAATGACCAAAGTCAGAGAACATCAAATGTCAAGCACCCAAAGCAGCAGACACATCTAAAGTTTGAAAGTAATTGGACAAGCGGTTGCGAAGCAATAGGGCAAAATATAGCTTTTAAAATTGCTTATTTTTCAGTTATCTGCCCTTGGTCTTTGGGCCTATGGCCTTGGAATTTGTGTGGTATCTGGTACGTAAGTATCTGGATACACATACAAAATTTGAATGGAATTGAGGCAGTGGTTATTATGCTAGCTCTGGTACAAAAATCGGCGGAATAATAATAATATTAAATCGAACGATAGCACTGGGACTCTTCAGCTTTTCGGCTTGGTGACTCTGAACCAGACTGTAACTTCTTTGTCAGTTGGGCTCCAGTCAAATGGATGAGCGTTCTGAGTTCGTCAGGGCCCCGGGTTTATGTCGTATTGCTGAGATAAAGTGCTAAACCTGTTTCCGACCTCGTCCATGTTCGAATCCTCAAATGGTTTGCCTGCACCAACGCCGTCAAATGTAATGAACCGCTTGTGAGACATCACCACGTGTGTCCCAGTGTGTTCTTAACCCATGTTTGACTTCAACCATTTTCGAATCCTCAAATGGTTTGCCTGTACCAACGCCGTCAAATGTAATGAACCGCTTGTCAGACATGACGACATATGTCCCAGTGTGTTCTTAACCCATGTTGGACTTTGACCATGTTCGAATCCTCAAATGGTTTGCCTGTACCAACGCCGTCAAATGTAATGAACCGCTTGTCAGACATCACCACATGTGTCCCAGTGTGTTCTTAACCCATGTTTGACTTCGACCATGTTCGAATCCTCAAATGGTTTGCCTGTACCAACGCTATTAAATGTAATGAACCGCTTGTCAGACATCACCACATGTGTCCCAGTGTGTTCTTAACCCATGTTTGACTTCGACCATGTTCGAATCCTCAAATGGTTTGCCTGTACCAACGCCGTTAAATGTAATGAACCGCTTGTCAGACATCCCCACATATGTCCCAGTGTGTTTTTAACCCATTTCCGACCTCGAATCCTCATATTCGAATCCTCAAATGGTTTGCCTGTACCAACTCCGTCAAAAGATAGTCACCGTTTGCAGGATTTCAACACTAAGAAATTGGTGTGTGTCAGAGTTAACCAGAGTGTTCTAAACCCATTTACCACCCAGACAATGTTCGAATCCCGATAGTCGCCTCTTGAGACAAGCATGGGTTGCTGAAGACCAATTCTAACCATCATCTTCAAGGGTAGTATACATACTGCAAAAGACACTTGACGGTCAAAGGGAAATAATCCTGAGTTTTCTGAGCGATGTTTTCGGTATTTTGTCAATATTACCACCAGGCGGTGTTACTTTTAGCATGCAACCAAGAACAAAAGATGAGGTACATATGGCACACTAACTTCATGTAAACTTTCAATAGTTTCTGTGGAGAACCTTACAAGATGTGATCTTTATATAAAGGAAAAATTCGGTGAAAGAAATCATCAAAATCAAAATCAAACAGAGCCGTCACTAAGACAGATATCCAAAAACGGCTAACAGAGTTTGGTGTGTTATGTATGGAGACAATTCTCGGAAAGTTTGAAAGCATTTCATGCAGTGGATTCAGAGGAGATAGTATTTGAAGACAGGTACCCAAAAAACCCTGTGAAAACCTTGAATCCAATATGGCAGCAACTAAAAAAGATATCCAAAATCGGCTAACAGAGTTTGATGTGATATGTATGGAGACAGTACTCAGAAAGTTTGGATGCATTTCATGCATTGGATTCAGAGGAGATAGGATTTGAAGACAGGTACCCCCAAAACCCCGTAAAAACTTTGAATCCAATATGGCTGCCAAAGCACGTGACCAATGACCAAGGTCAAAGAACAGAAAATGTTAAGCACCCGAAGCAGCAGACATGTGTAAAGTTTGAAAGTAATCGGACAAGCGGTTGCGGAGCAATAAGGCGAAATATATCTTCAAAAAATACTTGTTTTTCAGTTATCTGCCCTTGGCCATTGGGCCTACGGCCTTGGAATTTTTGTGGTATCTGGTACCTAACAACTTGCACACACACACAAAATTTGAACAAAATCGAGCCAGTGGTTAAACTGGTATCTCTGGAACAAAAAACGGCGGAATAATAAATAATAATAATAAATAATAAATCGAACGATTACAATAGGGCTCTACAGCCTTTCGGCTTGGAGCCCTAATAAATCGAACGATTACAATAGGGCTCTACAGCCTTTCGGCTTGGAGCCCTAATAATAATAAATCGAACGATTACAATAGGGCTCTACAGCCTTTCGGCTTGGAGCCCTAATAATAATAATAAATCGAACGATTACAATAGGTCTCTTGCCTTTCAGGCATAGAGCCCTAAAAAGACTTCAACACCACATAGACACAAACAATCTCTTACATGCAGACCAGAGCAGGTTCACGCCAAACAGAACCACCCTAGATCACATCATTCCAATTCAACACGACATCAGAGTAGCCCAGGCTTCAATACAAACACTATCTTCTAGCTATATTTATCGACTTCTCAAAAGCCTTTGACATGATCTAAAATGACGGTCTAATCACTAAATTGTCAAACAAACATATTAAAGGACGCATGCTAAACTTCATACACAACTTTCTCAAAAATCGCACCATAACTGTAAAACAACACACTTTCTGACCCACATCCCATCCAAAACGGTACACCTCAAGGCAGTGTCCTTTCTCCAACACTTTTCAATCTTATGATCGATGACATATTCACAGACATCCGCTCAACAATCAAAACAGCTAAATTTGCAGATGACGCATCACTTTGGACTTCACACAAAACACTAGGTACAGCACAGGAACACATCATACATGCACTCAATGATATTGATACATGGGCAAAGACATGAGGTTTTAAAATCAATACTGACAAAACAGTAGCCATACTCTTCAAAACACCTAACATGCAAAACTACTCCCCACCTTTACTCTAAATAACTCCCAAATCAACTACAGCACACAAACAAAATTTCTAGGCCTAATACTTGACCAACACCTAACATACACACCCCATATCAAACACCTCATCCCAAATTGCAACCATGATCTCAACTTAATGCGCAGCATACGGGGAACAAGCTGGGGAGCAGACCAGCACACGCTACTTACTGTCTACAAAACACTCATCCGACCCAAGTTTGAATACGCCGCACCCGCATGCGACGCACTCACACAAACAGACTCCAAGAAATTGGACTCAATTCAATACAAAGCACTTTCAATCTCACTAGGTACAGTATGAGGCACCGCACTCACATCTCTCTTAAAGCTCACTGGGGAAATAGCTCTCCCCCCATCCCCTCCCTTACTTACTTACATTGGAGATTTTACGTGCGCTTTCCGACTGCAGCGTATTTCGCACACAGGCCCGGCCAGGCCATTTAATGTGTTTTCGAAAAGGGGAAAAAGTTGTTTGGCAATCCCCATCCCCTCCCCAGTGGAATGATACATACATCCTTACCTTAATCCAACCAAACATCAAATAGCTCACTAGAACAGAGTAGAGCACTTCCGTAAAAACAATAAACAATGTTTTCTTAAAAAACATAACACAGTTTACATGGGCGGATACAGAGGGGGGGGGGGGGGGTGCCCCCCCCCTTTTTATTTTGAAAAAAATCTTTATTTCTGTATAAATTACCACCAAAGACAATAAATAGATCTTAATTGTGCACCCCCCCTTTTCAAAAAAGCTGTATCCGCCCATGGTTTATATGTTTACTCTGCTGACTGGCATTAAGGAAGTTCAAAGGCAATAAAATAATTGAACCAACAACAGTTCACTGATTGGTATGCTGAGAAGGTGTCAACAAGCTTGACACGAGTTGGTAGAACTCTTGCCCCAAGCAGTGATAACTCACCGGATGGCCATTGTGTAATTCCTATTCTTTGAATGACATTCTTATATACTTGTTTCAACTGCTGCTCAATAAACTGTGTTTGTGTTTATATTCAAGTTGGTATTTCCGCTATCCAGAGTGTGCAGTGAGGCCATCTTATTGTTGATAGTCATTTGGAGACATAAATGCGAAGTTAATTAATGTGAACAAAGACCACTCGCATTTTTCACATTTAATTCATGCTCGCATCAATTTCAAGATTAACAGTACTTGATATAATTTCTTTTGGATGTCAGTTTAGATATAGGTAAATTTAACATTGGAAATAGTCGCCATGAATTGGATACCATGGTGCATTGAACTAATGATGTGAGTTGTTGACATACAAAAACTGTTTTCAATATATTAGGTGAAATATGTATCCTGTCTTTTCCAATCAGAATCCAATATAGAATGCAATACATTATTCAGTAATAACTATGTAATTATTTCAGTTTCTTTCTGTTATTTCAGGTGGTTAAACAGACAGGGATGGAAGAGTGTGTTGTGATAACCTATGACCATTTATTTGGCATTCTTGGAGAAAATATTGATCCACTATCAATATCCTTATCTCATCTTGGAACTTGCAAAATATTTATTCTGTTTAGGCCTGTTAAAAGCTATAATCTAGTTAAAAATGGATTGTTTGATACTGTCCATTTCTTAAATATTTTGAGACATTTTCACAAACAGGCAACATTTTGTCCAGGAATATCCATCAAATTCCTTCAATCTGACACCCACCCTAGTGCCATTGCACATTATACACATCCTTTTCCACGTTGTCAGTCTGTTGACTGTCCAGTGTATGGGGAAAAGTCAGATGGAAAGCTGGATTGTGGTACATGTTTTCCTTGTAATGCCTGCAGTTTGCTAATGGTTAAGACATCTGACAAAAAAGATTGCGTACAGGATATTGACTTGCCAAATGATACTGTTTTTGCATCAAAAGAACATGATGTTAGCAATCAAAGGAACACTGATTCATCCCAACCCTCGCTTTCAGAAGATTCAAGTTTTGACAACAATGATGATTATGATGATGAACCAGTGGTTGAAAAGATATGTTCATTCAACAAGAGGAATCATGGAAGGAGTTTGCTGAGCGATAGTATGAACAGAGAAAATCTTTCAATAGTTTCAATGGTTCCTATGAAACATCCTCACAGAGAAAGAAAACTTGCCACTGTTGGTGGTGAAACCATATCCAATTATGTAAAAACTAACAATTTTGATACAGATTTATCATATGTAAATCAAACAAATTGGCAAGAATATCCAAGTGTACAATTGGATAACATGTTGAAAATAAGTATTTGTGAGGCTTCAAACCAAACAGGAAAAGTAACTGAAACCAATGCTGTGGAATTAGAAGATGATTCCATAAATGTATCTGAAATAAATAAAGAAAAGGACAGTGGCAGAACATGCAGTCTGATGAAAAAATCCCATGTTACAAGTGACCATCCCGATACAGTTTCTGTTGAAAGTAATAACAGGTTACATAGGTCTAATTGGAGAGAAGTCAGTCCCTACTGTGGTCAAATAGTTGAACCATCTTCAAATTCAGAGATGCAAAAAAATGATACAACACAGAATATGTTGTCTCAAGAAAGCACCCACTCAAGGAGACAATGTGATTTGAAACATTCAGTGTTACATATTCCAAATACTAGTGACTGTAGCATGGAAAGAGTCAAGAACTTCCCATCAGGTATGAAAAAAATTCCTTCTGCCACTCTCTCTGTGGCAAGTGTTTTGGCTTCAAAATCATCCAGTGTTGCCAAACAAAATGTTATTTTAAGAGCATCTTTGCAAGGTAGGACTATCAAGAACAAAAAGCCTAGTATGGTAAATGCTACCTTAAGACTAGATGATGTGATTGCACAGTTGAAAAAGTCAGTCAATAAGCCTCAGCTTTCAGTTTTAAATCCACAGTTAGATAGAGTGCAATGTACCTCACAAGAGACAAGAATTGAGTCAGTCTCAGGTCAAGTCAGTGATGAAGAATCTGAAGTCAATAAATGTAAGGAAAGAAAATGGCTCAAAAGAAAGCGAAAACCTTCTGAAAAAGTAATAGAATACCTTGAAAGTTTAAAGTGCAAGAGTAATGAAAGAGAAGTTCTCAGTAAAATAGCTAAGAAAAGAACTGGAAAAACTATCCACTCAAAATCGAACAGTGTTGCTGTAGAGATTGAGAGTTCTTTCCAGCCCGACCCTCTCGAGTACAAGAAGACTTCAAGGATAAACAACAAGACAGGGTCTGTGTCAGATCAGAAAAATGTGACTGGTGCCTCAAATAAACATATAAGTTCATGCTCGGAACCAAATATAAATGCTTCTGAAATGTTACAAAAGTCTCAGAATAGTAGACCTTTGAAACTGTCGCACACTGAAACAGAAAAGGCTACAAACACTACAAAAAGGGAATGCATCAAACATATCCAGACAAACCATTCTATTGACAAATCAATAGTGAATGATGATGATGATCGGACTGACACAGAGCCGCTGCTGAAGACTACAGGTACAGTGTGCATGAATACCTCCTATTTGTTTATTGATACTTAGTGAGAATGGTATTAAATTTGTTTCTGAATTATTTACTTCTGTCAAATGTATTGAATAGGGATTTTTTTGTTAGGATTATGTTGGAATTTCACTGCCACCTCAGCATTTTGGTGTTTTTTATAGGCCTGAGGAGTTGTTTTGAGACATAGATCACCACTGTAAAGAGTCAAGGTCATGATAAAGATCATAGCCTGAAAAACTTTTGTGATACTTTTTTAATATCAACAGTTGCTCGAGAAGGTGTAGGTCATTCAGCACAGGAATGGTTATTTGACAACTGTCTAACAACTAAGGTCAAGGTCATTGGACAATTATTGCCAATTTCCTCATAATCAGGAATCTCAATGAACAGACAAAAGTGTGAACTACAGGTACGATCGAGTGGGGTAAATGTTGTGCTTAAAAAATGACACCTTGACAAGATCATCTCATTACATAATTGCACTGTGCAATAGATTCAAATCTGCTCCTGTTATCCATAGAGAATTCTTTACAATAACAGGAAGGTGAATTTCTACATCTACCATAAAAAAAACAGTTCTATGCAGCTCGCATGAAAGCAAGTTGTCCTGTGAAGAGTTTGAAATCTACAGGCTTTTATCGTCATGACACCTTCACTATCTTTTTATCAGTTCCCTTATTTTTAGTCAGTAGTATATGCTGAATAGATTCATTAACAGTGTGTATTTATTTAATGACCAGTTCTCGCTATTCTTTTTCATGTTTTTTCTATAAATTTTCCATGTTTAAAGATAGCTGTAACAATAACTTTGATTTTTGTGAAACTGTGGGCAATTGTGTTTATTTCTGTTCATGGAAAATGTTTGAGTTGATTTATGATGTAATCAAAACAGCTGAAATAGGACTGTCAACTAACTGTACCAGTAATCACCATTGCGTTTACGCATGTATTACACCGCATGTCCTTTCTCCTGTTATATTTGGGCAAGATGACTTCGTGCATCTATTCTAATATTTTCTGACTGAGTCAATTTTGCAAATCGTTTTTTGATAAATATTTCTCTCTTCTAATGAAAACTAGCAAAAGTACGCTATGTGGACGCTAAAATGCAATTTTTTGGCACAATTGGCACAATATATTCATACTTTGACTGATACCTAACATGTTTAGGCATTGCAAAATGGCAAACACACAGGTCAATATAAGGTTCACACTGAATTCACATGGAGGCAGTCATTTGATCTAGGTAGAGAGTGAAGAGAATGAAAGGACAGATTGTCCTTCAACAGTCAACACTGTCGCCGATGTCCTCAGCACCAATAGAAACATCAATAACCACCACCGAGACGATGTTGGACTGTAATAAGACACAGTGCAACCAAAAGTTTTATTTGACAGCTTTATGTAAATTGTGAGCGAACAAAGTACTGCCCTATATCTGAATGACATAATGACATGAATATTATAATTATGTGGTTATGTATGATGTCACACATTTGATACAAAAACTTACTTGTTTTATCTGGTGAAAATCAATGTTTCGCTATAACATCAAAACACATGCTCAAATAAAAAGGACATAACTCTACCATGCTTAATTGTAAGCAGTAGTATAGGTAATGGTAGTTCTGGACAACTTCCACTGGAGCCAGATTTATATACCTATACCACCACTACAGGGGGATTTTTTTATGTGTAAATGCTGATGCGATTTAACGATCATCATGAGTCGTATTAAAAGAAACATCAATATTCATTAATAATGGATAAAATTTACGATAGCCCATGAGGATATTGGAAAGGTATAGGAGTAATAAAAAAATTAGCCATTGCGGCTAAGGTATCTAAAGATGTGGCCAAGGATTGGTTAAAGAAACAAGCGATGTGGCAAATATACTTACCGGAACCGCGTTATATACCGAGGAAGAAGTTTGATATTTTTACAACGAATGAAGTTCATCAGGCTGACCTCTTGTTTCTTCCCCATGATAAGGTAAGACGCAAAAGGTATAAATACGCTTTAACCGTAGTGGATGTGGCTAGTCGATACAAAGAGGCTGAACCATTAACCTCGAAAGATTCAACAGAAGTAGCTAATGCACTGAGTCGCATATATAAACGAGGACCACTAAAATGGCCTAAGCTATTTCAAGTAGATCCCGGTCGCGAGTTTATGGGATCGGTAACTAAACTGTTAACAAAGCACGATGTCGAAATCAGGCGTGGTGAAAAAGAGGCCCACCGTAGTCAAGCTATCGTTAAAAGATTTAACCGGACATTAGCGGAACGTTTGTTTGGGTATCAGTATGACATCGAAATGAAATCGGAACGATTGAGGTCAACCGAATGGGTGACACGATTATCAGCTGTTGTATCAGCGCTGAATAATGAAGTAACGAGATTAATCGGGAAGAAACCATCCGATGCGATTAAAATGAAATCTGTGACTTCCTAATCTTCAGCACTGAGGAGAGGCAAAGAACAAAAACTTCCGTATAGAGTAAGCGTAAGATATTTATACCAGCCCGGTGAACTCGAAGGAGGCCTACGTCGTGCAACCGATCCGATTTGGTCCCTTAAGATATATAACATTAGTTGATTGGTTATGAAAGAAAGAGAGCCTATTCTTTATTATCTTAACGATGGACCGGGCAGGGCATATGTACGAGAAGAGTTGCTCATAGTTCCCAACGATACAGTATTACCGCCCTAAATAACCATAAGCATAGGTAGTTACACCATCATTATCAACCACCTCTTTGTATCTAAGGGGGATAATGATGTCTTGTTCATTCTTAATCCATATATCCTATGATTGTAACTTCTTAAAGAGTTCATCTCGTGTTTGAATGTTCTACCGTTGAATAAAGCTTCTTTATACTGTTCGTGTTTCATATGCTTTTTTACCACATACTTCTTAACACCCTTAGCTTTTCTTATCTCTACCTTATCAGACTTCTTTATAGAATACAGCTTAGGTCTTAATCCGACATACTCCGCTATAGGAGTCCCAGCACATTCATCCTTCATCTTACCAAACACCTTTTTATTTACTACGCTGTGCAGTGGATTATCTAGGGTAATCGCTCATGTCGTACATATCTATTTTTTCTGCCATATCTTTATACACATCCTCAGTTTGTATTTCCATCAACAAAGAATCTGTGGCGGTATATAACACCTCGCATCTATCGCCGTATTGCTTCTTAAGTTCGTTGTAATAAAAGTCATACATTAAGTGTTTTGACAAGTCAAGAATACTCATACCGACTTACACCAGTCTGTTGAATTTTATATAACTCTTCTGCATATGCAACGATTCTTAGTCATTATCGAATATCTTGCTTCTGTTAAAAGCCGGACTGGCTATAAGTTTCCTTAGTCTTTCTTCCTCATTAGACCTGACTAATTTAACATCAACATTCTTAGAGTCTCCATAGTTTTACCAAATACTGAGTTATTCATGAGCTTATATAGATTCTTTTCAAAATCGCTGGTGGCTATCTTTCTTAAATCTGTGTTCAGCCTTATATAGGGCTCCATCCAAGGGCTTTGATCAAACTTTAGAACTCTGTGTATTTTCTTTAGTTTCATACCTAACGATAGATATAACTGGAGATTTCTGTAGTGAACTATATATTTTGTCTTATCCATCAAATTTGGTACGAGTTTTTCTACGTTAGCTAACCTTGTATTACCCATCAAGGAGTGTTGATATTCCGACATCCAATCTTTATTCACCATTAATCTTTCGGGAGCTAGCGGATAACTGTTATGATCTTTATGCAACGAATTTGGATATCCCAAGTCACTTCTAGTATGTACTCTTTACTCGCATTGATATTATGGATATCATTCACTTTGATATCATCGACCCACTCAAAACCACCCATGGGTAAAGGTTGACTCATAGCCCATCCGTACAAATTGTTGGCGTCGAGATATAATATGTGCGTGTCGGGTTTACTCGGATCATATCCTTCCACTAATTTATTATTAGCCTTAGAATACCTTTCGCCGCCATTGATATACCACCTGTTAATCCTTTCTCAATAAACAAGTCCATATCGTAATCGGTGAGTTATTTTAGTTCTACACCGGTCTTCTTCAACAATGCATCCCACGATAGTCCGGGACTGGAATAGTACCATGCCGGGTTCAAGCCGTATTGTTTTAAACATGTCTTTCTAAATATCTCGAATATATCGACGAGTAACAGTACATCGGTTTTTGAAGTACAGAGCATGATAATCACCTAAATTCTTACAACCTAATTTATCCCGGACCGTCAGAGCATGTTCATAATCGGCATCGGTTATTTCAGATTCTGTTAAGTTACTATAGAATGATTCAAGGGGTGGTAATTTAGTTTCATCGAATCTTGACCAATCATCCATATATTCGTAAGGATATACACCTTTTCTCAGCAACAAATGACGTGTTAACCGATCGGTATATTGTTGTGTTATTGCAAAGTCATTGGGATTGTTCGCATTAGCTAAATTGTCCAGGGAAGATAAGAGAAACTGTATGGTGTCTATGAATCTAAGCCCATTACTTTGCTTTATTCTAGCTTTCCCATCCTTGTCCGTAAAATGTATAGTTTTAGTCAACAAGAATGATATGTATTTTTCCATATTATTAGGAATGCACGTTAAGGCGACACTTTTTTTATTTCTTGGTTTACAGATGCGCCGCTCTTTCAAAGTTCAAATGTTAAAAAAAAAATAAAAATGAAAATTACCCTTTTTTTATTACCGCCGATCTTTTCGTCAAAAAGTTCAAACAAACAAAATTTCATTTCCTTGTCAAGCTTAAAGCAATCATCCATATATATATTGACCAATCATCCATATATTCCTAAGGATATACACCTTCTCTCAACAACAAATGACGTGTTAACCGATCGGTATATTGTTTTGTTATTGCAAAGTCATTGGGATTGTTCGCATTAGCTAAATTGTACAGGGAAGATAACAGAAACTGTACGGAGT